CAAATTCGGTGAATAACATGTTAAATGAACCTTTATCACTAATGCTCTATAAACTACAAGTCTCTTGTGTGTAAAATATGGAAATTTGGGAGTATTAAACTTGTCTGTACATGATGAGCGTGAATTAACATCTTGTTAAAACTGACTTAACACATATACTCTTCAACTATCTTCTTTCTTTCCTCTGTGGAACGGCCGCGTGTTATCAGGGGATCATTTGGCATGTTAATCCTGAATTGTTTACGCGGAGTCGGATGGGACTAAAAGTGCAGAAGACCGACATACTGACCTAATAACACTTATGGGCCTACATATTAGTTTTGTCAGCATATTGAGACAGCAGTTTATGTGCCATATTAACTGATTGATTGATTGATTTACTGATTGATCAATTGATTGATTGATTGATTGATTGATTGATTGATTGATTAATTGGTTGATTGAGTAATTGATTGACTAATTGATTGATTGATTGATTGATCGATTGATTAATTGGTTGATTAATTGGTTGATTGATTGATTGATTGATTGATTGATTGATTGATTGACTAATTGCTTGATTGATTTACTGATTGACTATTTGATCGATTGATTGATTGATTGATTGATTGATTGATTGATTGATTGGTTGATTAATTGGTTGGTTGATTGATTATTGATTGATCGATTGATTGACTAATTGATTGATTGATTGATTAATTGGTTGATTAATTGGTTGGTTGATTGATTATTGATTGATTGATTGATTGATTGTAGTTAAAAGAAACAATCCCTAATATTTAAGGCAAGAATTAAAGCCAACAAGTCATGTACTTCACATAGTTATCTGCTGGTTTAGAATTTGAATTATAAAATGTAAAAAGAAAAAAAGAAAAAAGACAACACAATGTGTTCATGTATTTTTAATTCTATTTCATAAAAATCAATATTATTACGTAGTACGCTTGACCTAAATTAAAACCGGGTCATCTAAAATTTTTGGAAACAATTCAGGATTAACCAAACCAACAAGTCATGTACTCCACATTTATATAGTCATCTGCTGGTTTTGAATTTAAATTATAAAATGTAAAAAGAAAAAAAAAAGAAAGAAAGAAAGAAGACAACACAACGTGTTCATGTATTTTAATGTCTATACATAAAAATCAATATTATTACGTAGTACGCTTGACCTAAATTAAAACCGGGTCATCTAAAATGTTCGTTCATAAAAAAAGGCAACAGCAGTCCAAAATCCATCAATTTGGCAATAAAAAAACTACTTTTAACGGAAATGTGTGTGTTATTACTATTGAATATACTGCTGTTATAAATGGTTAATTTCCTTTATTTTTTAGAATGATGGGTGTTGGACACTATAATGTAACATTATGGAGTAATTTACTTTTATTTGAAGATATTAAGTAACAAATTTATCGACATGATAATTAGTTTCTTCTATTTCACCTGGTATGAACAGAGCTACCTAGTTATTTAAAATTTCCTTTGTATAATGATTTATCATTAAATTACTATTAAATATAAACACTATTAGATTTTGTATTAGTAAAGCTAAGCTTATTTAGCCTTTGTGACCTGACTCAACTTAAGTGGCATTAACTCAACTTTGGCAATTGCGAGTTGCACAAATTGAGGCGACATTGGCGCTCTTGCAACGAAAGAACCACAACAACTTGCTCTTAACTGCACATACAGTAGTCGCAGCAATGTTTTATTTTGCTAAATTCTAAAGCCACTGACATGCGGTAGAAATTAGTCATGTAACAGTGCGGCCATCCCATGACAAAACAATGTACAGTAACTGTTTTCATATCTTTGTTACGTTGTTTTGCCTTGGAAGGGCCGAATAGTATTAACCCAATCACTCAGATAGTCTATTAAATGTTGGCATGTCCCATACATTAATGTTGACATATCCAAAAAAATTTTTCGGAGTGTCAATCAAACTTAACAAACTGACCAATCAGTGCAGCACTAGGGATACGCTCGTTTCTCACACAAACGCACATGTTCACGTATGTTTTAACACTGTTGTCTTATGGAACCTTAGCAACAATATCTTTCCCTTCTTCATTCCGATTCTTGTCCAATTTGCCTTTAGATAATATCATTTTAATTAAAAAACTATAATTCCTTAATATATTCCATAGGTTTTTATTGTATTTACCTTGATTTTATATAGACTTTTAATAATTTAATTTAATTTATTATTGTCATGTTACTAGGCCTAAGTAAGCTGACTTTCACATCCTGTATATAAAGTGAACTTTTTATAATTAATTTATAATTGATTTTTTTTTATTTATTTTTTTTATTTATTTATTTACTTTTGTTAATTAGGCCTAAGTATTCATATATAAAGTGAATTTTGCACATTGTTGTACATGATTGATTCTGTATCCAATTACCAGGGAAAAAAAAGCACCGTGAGCAATTCCTTCCGAAATGGATATGTTCGGTATATATCATCCAAATTGTGAAATGTCAGATTTTTGTCTGTCAGCCTAAACAGATAAAGTTTGATCAGACTCTGTATAATGAAGTACAACATTGAAGAGATGTGGAAAGACACACAACTTGTTTGATCAGATATGTCTAAAAAACCCTGTCCAGACTATCAAATTTTATTTGACAAACAGCTGTTGTATACTGTATGCCCATATATAGTCATTATGTGCCTCTATGGCTGTCTCTTATACACATCTAGATGTGTATAAGAGACAGGTTTTACTGCTTATCTTCTATAAATTGTATTAATCTGTATAGGGGAGTTGTTTATATGGGCTTATGCCCGCTCAGCAACCCTTGCTTGCTTTTTGTTTTTTTTTTTTTTTTGTTTGTTCCATTTACTTGATTGAATTGTGTATAAAATCTATGTTGCAAGTGAAATAAGTTTGATTTGATTTGATTTGATTTGATATCTAAGTGGCAAGGCTTAGTGTAAAGGTCCATTATGGTAACATTGCATGGTAACTAGTTGTAGACAATCTACAGTGCAGTCGGAAGCGACTTAAGCACTTTGGGCAGCTAGAAACTACATACAGTGAAACCTCCAATTGAAATAACTGTGCTTCTTCCTTTTTTTGCGAACTTTGGATGGGCTTCTTTTCAAGGCTACTTTTTGCAAAGTAAAGGGGTGGGGGGGCTTCTTTTCTAAATGAATGCTGTAAATTTTGGAAATTTGTAATTTATAAAACAATAAATAAGGCCAATGTAACATCAACCTGTATTATGGATTGTAATAACTGGCATTAAATCACCTAAACTACTGTATAAACCAAGCTTGATTTTCATTTATTTTATTTTTTGAAATTCATGTACGGTGTACGTATTACACTATTTCGAACAGAAGGCTATGTTATCTTGTAAAGAAGCCTGTGGGCTTCTTTTTGAAATTTGCTTCTTTTCGAGGCTATCTTATGCAAACTAAAGAGGGCACTTCAATTTGAGATGGGCTTCTTCTTGAGATTAAGCCCATTGGGCTTCAATTTAAGGTTTTACAGTAGTCGCTTGCAGTTGTGCATACTTGCGCAATCGTAACTTGTGAAAGTCGAGTGCTACATTCAAGTAGCATTGTAGAAGAGTAGCTTACTTTTATTTTAAGACATTATTTCAGACATTAAGTAACTGATGATATATTGACAATATAATTAAATTCCCTTCAATTCCATCTGTTGTCCTACCTAGTTTAGCTAATCAACTTTTGCCTATCATATAAATTTCATATATCAAAATGATAATTAAATATCCCTTCTACGTCTTCACCTGGTACATGTAAATCAGCAGTCTAAATGAAAATTTCCTTGGTATAATCATTTCTCTTTACCATAAAAACTAAATAGCTTTATCGTATTATGTGCTGCGACTCAATAGATAATACAGGTCTCCTCGTCGGGGAAAGCTGCCCCATCCCAGGGGAGAAGATTAATTTGTCGGGGAAAAAAATATTAAAGATTATTTGTTTTTAAATATGTAGACTCAACAAAGAAAAGTAAATAAAAAAGTTATAAAGACTAAAAAGAAATGTCATGAAAATTGATATTGTAGAAAAGTTTGAAGTTTTTTGTTTGTTACTTAAAATATTTAATTCTGTTAGTTATTTATAATTCTTTTAAAGGTATAAATATTAGGGGCAGTTGTTGCAAAATGATTATATTTAGGTTATTCCAGATTTCAGCCCCATGATAGGATAAACTTCTTTTTTTATAATCGGTCCTTGGTTTATGTAAAGGTAGGATGTCATTTGACCTTGTTTCATATATATGTTGATGTTCATGAAACCTGTTTCTTAAGTAGGATGGTGCTAAGTTTTTCATTATCTTATTGTTACTGCTTTAAGCCTGGTGTTAAAACTCTGGGGCTGGTAATCAAGATTGCAATGAATTCAGAACCGACATTGGTCACATTTATTAAAATGTCCTTAGGCACAAACATTTATCTATGGTTGCGTAATAGCTCTTCAACGAGGAGATGGGTACCGGGATAAGTGAATTATTGCGAAAGAAAAATGGTAGTGTCGAATTACATGAATTGGAATATCCCCGGGAAACAGAGTATGTTGCACATTGTTGTACATGATTGATTCTGTATCCAATTACCAGGAAAAAAAAAGCACCGTGAGCAATTCCTTCCGAAATGGATATGTTCGGTATATATCATCCAAATTGTGAAATGTCAGATTTTGGTCTGTCAGCCTAAACAGATAAAGTTTGATCAGACTCTGTATAATGAAGTACAACATTGAAGAGATGTGGAAAGACACACAACTTGTTTGATCAGATATGTCTAAAAAACCCTGTCCAGACTATCAAATTTTATTTGACAAACAGCTGTTGTATACTGTATGCCCATATATAGTCATTATGTGCCTCTATGGTCATGATATGATAATCATCTTGACCATACAGATATGTCACATGTTTTTATAAAATACAATTTGATAGTCTGATAAACAATTGCGTACATGGTCAGATAATTTATGAATAAACATTGATTCTTACCTTTCTTGCTAATGGAATTGATAACTCCGTGCACATACTGTTCAAACTTTTCACAATTCTTTTCTCCCAGTTAGACTGTAAGATAATATATACAGACATAATTATAGGCACAAAAAAATGTTTGGGATATACTCGAAAACTTTTGGAAGGGGCTGAGTACCTAAACATTAAGTGAATTTTTTCTATTGAAAAATAGCAGTCTACTATATAGTAAAAGTTATAGCATTTAATTGTCATTTCATAAAGCATGGTATTTACTATTTTTTAAAGCTTTGTCCATACCACTATCAAATTTTAAGTGACAAATAACTGTGACTTGCCATACAGAACATGACATTATAAATTGTCACATAAAATTTTAAGTTTTTTTAAAACTTGAGAATTCAAGTAGAGATCAAATTAAGTTATTAGATGCAAAGGTGATAGAGTACTTGCATGTTGTCTACTGGAAGCAACATCCACCATCAAGTTTTATCATTTAGCAAATCACACAGCGTGACATCATAATGTCCAAGTGGAAATCATAAAAGTTTGTCACATAAAATTGTTTACAGTGGAGAGTCCAAAACTCTAAAATTCTAACTGTACATTAATAATTTCCAGTATCTTCTAGGAGACATTCTCAACCAGCAACAGTTCTTTTCAGAACTTATCTACTTGGTGTACACTGCAAGCATTTAATATTATTACTTCACCATGCAAACCTTCAAACACTATTTCACTATCTTATTTTATTTCATCTTTCTGTATTTTAATCATATATTTTAATATTTTATAAGTAATTATTTAATGTAGTTTTTTTGTAGTGCCTACTTTATGCTTATAGTTTTAATTAAGCAAATTTTTAATTAATATGTGTGAAATATTTACAAATTTTAAATTTAAATCTATTTGTAAAATTGGTGGAGGTTCACAGGCCCGTAGCGTGTGGGGTTTAAGGGGGTTACGACGAACCGCCCAAAAACTGTAGAAGGTCCGGATTTAAAAAAGAAAAATTGATATTTGTAGATATATTTACAATGTTCTGAGTATCAAAGATCATAAAGCCAAAGGGTCCACTTTCCACTGAAATGAACCTCCCACAAATTAAGTCAAGCTACGGGCCTGGGTTCATCATTTCTGATGACAGTAGCTTTATGATGGCACTGTTGAATCTTTCTAGGAACTACTATATATATTACTACTACTGTGAGCATGTGCTTTCTTTTGGTTTATTTTTTATTTTTTTATTTCCTTCATATCCAATTTCCTTCACTCGCCACTTACAGGATGGAATGGTGCTTTATAAACCAAGTCTGTAATATTGAGGCCTAGGGAATAACATGATAGTAACTACTTTATGGTATGACGATACACCTCCACATGTATTAATTAAAGATGATAATAAATATGTGAGAAAAACATATGTCCCCCATCAGGATTCGAACCCAAGACCTTCCGGAGGCATAAGGAGTATCAAGAGTTTTTTGTTTTGTTTTGTTTTGTTTTTTTGTTTTTGGTTTGCAGTGACATTGAATTTAACTCAGGACCCAGGGATTAGAAGGCAAGTATCTTAACCACCAAGCTATTAAACTACACTGTTTTTCTGAATAAATAATAAATATTAAGAAACTGTATAATCAGAATAACTTCTCCCCTTTTAAAAGTGTGTCAGAAGAGACCAGCTGCTTCACATAGCATAAATGTAGGGCAAGACAAAGGTATCATTGCCTAATCAATAGAAAATATACATAATTATGACCTCAGCACACTTCAGAAAAAAAAACTGTACTCATTCTGAAGAATTTCTCAGTTGAACTGAGAAAACATTTTAGCTATCAAAAAATTCATTCTGGAAATGTAGTCCACAGAATTTTCCTATTGCAATATATAATTTCTTTTTTTTTCTTTTCATGATAAATACACTTGACTTTCGATATGAACAGGTACAAAAATAACTACAGGGATTGGCTGATACAAATCAACCGGTTGGCAGCCCTGTAGTAGTACACTACAAATTTAGTGTAGCAATCAAAAATTGACATTTATTGAACTTATACAGCCTCGTCAAAGGCTAGTAATCTCTGTTCCTATTTTTTAAAATTGTAGTGTTTGTTTTAGAAAGGTTTGGAGGGGAGCGTTGGAGATTTGGGGAAGGAAACAAAAAATGTACATTTTTTTGTTTTTATCACTCACATACTGTATCCAGATAATTTTTTTTTTAATCTACAAGAATACCACATAATTCGTCACTCACATTGCGAACTAATCACAATCAAAGTAAATTGCTAGTTCGTGAAAATTAAAAAGCGCATCAAAAGCGTGCATTGGTTGTGGCGTCAAGCTATTTTGTATTCTTTATACCATACACAAAGTCAGTAATAACAACAGCGAGTATTTTAACACACTTTTCTCTTTTTACTAACACAGTCTACTGTAATTGTGGTAGTTTGTGGTGTGAATAACAAATTTTATACAAGTTTCCTACTAGAAGTTTGCTTTTTGGAAAGTAAAAGTTGTGCTTTTTACAATTTTCTCAATATAACATTTTTTTCCCTTCTCTTAAGTTATAGTATTCAATATAATACTAATAAAAAAATGTAAAGACATAAAGATGTTTTACTGCTAACATTACATTACTTCGATTTGTTTCCTCTTGGGAAGTCAAAAAGCCAAATAAATTCAGGATTCTTATGGCATAATAATAAATAATAATTTATTAGAAGGCATTCATCAAGAAAAAAAACCCTCCCCAAAAAAAGAACATAAACAAAATGTATTTAATATCAACTACAGAATGCAACTTCCAACATTAATACTTTTCATGGAAACATATATCATCAATTTACAGCTGAAAAATCATACTACATACATCAAAATAACTCTTTGGACTTTCATGGGCTATTCTTGGTATTCATACCAAGGAAATCCAAACCCATTCAATCCGTGGGTAGAGTGTTAGCTTAAACGATGAATTGATGCGCAAGTTTGTGTTTAGTTTCTTGCTCAATGCTCATAAGGACACTTAAACTGCAACGACGAATAGAAAGTTGATTTCACGGTGCCAATCAAATGAACTACACAACATTCATTAAAAAGTTATAAACATGATTGCGCATTGGTACGTGCCTCACAATCGCATCGTCTCATCTCCGGATTACTTTTAATTTCAAATGGAAAACACGAATCTTTAAGCAAACTCCTACCTGAGCTCGTCTGATGTAGCTAAGCGGTTCTTTAAGTTGCTCCAGCGTTGCGTGCGGATGCTCGGCTGGTGGAAACTGTGCAAGTTGCTTATACACAGCATTTTGCAGAAGCTTTTCCTGTCCTGCAAAAATAGAGAAAAAATAAAAAAATTAACACATTTGCATGATCTGTCTTCAATCTAAAAGCTCACCCATATAATTGACCCGAATATGGATCCAAATTGGGCTGACGCCAGAAAAATTTAAGTACATAAATATTATTATATTAAAATTAAATATTATTTGAAAATTTAAAAAAAAAAAAATTTTTTTAAATTCAGAAAAGGCTGCCGCTCTTTGCAGGAGGAAATGGCACTGCAAGTAACTCTCCGAGATGCATACATGTGCTTTATAAGATGTCATTATTATTATTATAAAAGTAAATAATTTTTTTTCTTTATAAATTAAGATTTTTGACTGTCTGGTAAGGCTGGAATGGTAAAAATATCAAGCATGCACTGTACCTGACTGGCGTAAGGCCTTACGAACTTCATCCTTTAAACTGGCCAAATCGACTTCAGGATTTAATACATGGGCCTAGAGTGTGTAAAAAAAAAACAATCAACACTTTAACAATAAAGCTCAAACATCCAAGTATAATACATTGAAATGTATGTGATGCCCTTATTATAAGGGCTACTACTATAATAGTAGTTGCATATCTACGGAGGGCTTTGGGGCACACACCCTCCATAAAGCTTGTACCCCATCCCTTCTAGAAAATTGTTTCAAGAAGGAAAATTACGCTCAAATACCTTAAATCAACTCACTTCGACTTTATTTTGCCAGTGAGCATGTTAACGAACGAAAAAGCAAATGAACAAATGATTGAAATGTATGAATGATATATTTATTAATGAAAGAAACAATTAATAAGAAATTCAGAGGAAGGAAAGTATTAATAAATAGTTCTACAAAATTGGAATATACATGTAATGTACTAAAACTTGCACAGTTAAGTACTATTATCATCATATTTTAAGGTAATATAAGCATTGACGGTAAGAAAAAAAGCCAACAGACCAAAATGCACAATATTGTGGCGAAGGAACAAAACTGAAATTTAACTTTATCTCCGGACAAAGATTCACTGATCCTTCAGGATCACCAATACAAATAATATATTTGTTTGAATAGTATTAGTCTAACGTTACATGAGCAAGGTATTATTATGTAGAAATACAATTACAACAATTCACACGCAGAAATCGCAATTAGGGTCATCACAGAAACGGAATAGGAAGTACGCATTTTAATTACCAAAGTGACACTTAATAATATAGTGAAGTGATCAGGTTACATTTCTGTACTTTCTTCAAAGAGATCGTAATAATAGAGATGTAACGGAACTGACAGTCACCCAGTGAAGATGAGTAAAGTTGAAATGGAACTAGGTCATATATTTGACCTAGATATAATATGTGACCAGCTCTGGTAAAATCAGCCATTTTGTGAAGAAAAATTTAAAATTGAGGTTTTTGGTATTTTTAGATTCTGTATGAATCCTTCTTTAAAACAGTGTTCATTTGATCGAAGTTGGTTGAGTATTAGCGAAGTTATGAATATTTAAGAATATTGGATATCAACAATGTACTGTAGGTTTTGAGAAACCAGCTTCCACAAATTCGAAAATTAATAGTCTATTTATTATTTTTAGGTCTGCGCAAGGCTGACTCCAGAACCACACTGCTGTTCTTCTTGTTGCTTGTTGTTATTATTACCAAATTTTAAAAGCGTCCAACCCAATATAATAAGGTACGCCACTGTGTACTGTATTTAAGCATGAAGTATTTCCTCCATGATTTAATATGTCAACAAAAAGCCTCATCTGAAAGGTGCATACCCGAAGCGTTAAACCTCAGTTTAATGTGTTGACCAGAAAGCAGTCGCTCTTGTTAAAATTATTTTAATACAGTATATTTTTCAGTAAGATTTAGTGATTGATACTTTGCAGAAACGTTTTCAATATATCTTCCACTATAAAATGCAAAAACCTCGAAATGTTCAAATTTCTGTTTCTCAAACGTTTTGGGTGTTTGTGCGAAATTAGAAATTGCAACAAACAGCAGGTTTTGACAGAGCCGAACACATTTAAAATCTCTGCATCCAAAAATGTACTTAAACATTTTTATTTTAAGTCCCAAAAGTTCACCTATGATAAGTGAACCTGATTTATTATGGACTAAATACAGTAAGCGGGTAGACTCGAGCGGACCGACCATGTGTCAAATTCTTGCCAGCGAACTGGAAGCAGCAGGAAGGTGTGTAAGCCCGACTGATGGGCTTGCCACTTGAGGCTTCTGCTAGGTCTCGTTTGGCGGATGGATTGGAGAAGCAAGATGCAGATTTTAGAATGTTTTTAATATTTTCCAGCCATATATCTCAAAATTTAAAAAAACAAATAATAATTGTGTAAAATAATAAAATATGAAAAAAAGTATTCTATAGATGCCTGTCTCTTATACACATCTAGATGTGTATAAGAGACAGATTATGACCTCAGCACACTTCAGAAAAAAAAACTGTACTCATTCTGAAGAATTTCTCAGTTGAACTGAGAAAACATTTTAGCTATCAAAAAATTCATTCTGGAAATGTAGTCCACAGAATTTTCCTATTGCAATATATAATTTCTTTTTTTTTATTTTCA